CCCCTTCATTTCGAATAAAAAAGATGCAAAAATTCAACCTCTTCTGAATAAATAGTCATACTATAACTACATTGAATGTTTTATCGTCCATTACAGGTACGTCGAATTGCATCCAGGTGTTGTAAAGGGCCATGAAAGAAAATGGATGCCGCTGACTCTCGCAGAGCTTCAAATTTGGTTTACATTGCGACTGGCGATGGGCATATCACCAAAGCCTCGTCAGTCGCAATATTGGTCAAAAAATGATCTGCACGAGGCACCATTCTTCCCAAAGCACATGCCTCGAGGTCGGTTTGACCAGATCTCCACGTGCCTGCATCTGTCAGATAATGATTTCCAGAATGGCTCTAACAGGCTATGGAAGCTCGGCCGTATAGTCGAGCTTTTACAAAATAATTGTAAGGAGGCGTATATACCACCACAGTATATAACGGTTGATGAAAGCCTGTGGAAATTTCGGGGCCGTTTGGGTTTTGTAACCTATAACCCAACAAAGAGAGCAAGGTTTGGCCTAAAAATATACAAGCTCTGTGTATCCTCTGGCCCAACATGCGGGTACACCTGTGCCTTCAAGTTTTATACAGGCCAGGACCGAGGAGTCTTACCAGCCTCGCATAAAGCCGTCGCCGACCTAATGGAGTCGGCAGACGTGCTAAATAAAGGTTACTTTATTTGTAGACAACTGGTACTCGTCACCAACTCTGTTCCACTGGCTTCAGGGGAGAAAGACCAATGCCTGTGGAACAGGAAATGGATGCCCAAAAACTTTGAAAAGTTGAAGTTGAACAAGGTGGCGGTAAGAAGTACCCCAACGGGCATGATGTGCATAAAGTGGATCGATAAAAAGCCCATCCATCTACTATCCACTATACACACTTCCGAACTGGTCGAAACCGAGAGGGTAAATAGGCATGGCCAACTGGTAATGAAACCACAAGCCATCATTGACTACAATGATGGAATAAAAGGGGTCGATGTTGGCGACCAGTTGGCAGCCTCATATCCAGCTGCTAGGAGAAGCATCAAGTGGTACAAAAAAGTACTGATGTACCTCTTTGAACTCGCAATGGTAAACGCCTTTGCCCTCTACAAGGAGATAGGAGACCATACAACAAACCAACTGAGTTTTAGAGAACATGTAATGGGCCTTCTTGAGGAGTATCTGCCGCAGGCTCCTCGATACAGCGGAAGGGGACGGCCAGCAGTGACTAACTTGTCTCTCAGATTACAAGGAAGAAACCCCCATGTCATCCGAGAAATAGAAGGAAAGAAATACAAGAGGTGCCACGTGTGTTACACACATGGGAAGCGAAAGATGACAAAGGCAGAGTGCCTAGTGTGTAAGGTGCCCTTGTGCGTCTTCATTTGCTTCGAAAACTACCACAATAAGGTGAATTACTGAAAATTGATGGTGACTTGTATATTGTATAAATAGTTGTGTACATGCAAATACATGTATATGCTTCACTCCCTTTTTTATTCCCCTACATGTAATTCCAAGAAAAAGAAACTCACAAAAGGATAGAATATTCTATGACATTGATAAAATGAAACAATTACCGACTGTCAAACCATTTTTATCGTTTCTGGAAAAAGAGGAAAAAAAATCCGAATCCACTTTTTCTTTGATGTCGAACAATGTTACGTAGATTCATAGGAATAATCCTATTACATTACCAAACAGCTTATGTCCTCAAGAGACTTCCTAGACGAGTCTATAATACTGGGAAAAAAAAGTTATTTTCAAGGCACTCGAGTTTTCCAACAAAAGGCGAAACCGATGTCAAACTGCCTCAAGCGCGGCCTCCCACACCGCCCAAGCGTAATGTAAATACCGTACGGAAATCTGGGCCATATATGGTATTACCGCCACAAGCCTGTAAATATTGATTTCAAAATCGCGACCAATGGGTTAATACCTTACAGCCTTATTGCCCACCTCTCCATAACACTACCTCCCTCAACACTACTCCCTCTTCGACATGTTCCCATCCTTCTACTACCCCTATCTCTACAACAATCTTAAATACTCTATTTAGCCCAGCCAAATGGGACCGATTTTTTGTGATCCTTCCCTACTCTGCCTACTTGTTTATGGAGACATTGCTGGAAGAGAGGGGTGTTGTCAGTCTTTCTGTAGCCAACCCGACCGCTCCCGTCTCGTCACAGTAACATCCAAAAACCAAGCTATAGCATTAGCAAAACTGATCTATATGGTAACCCCATCCTTGCAGAACCCCATCCAACCCTCAATACTTGCACTGGAACTGTTTCTATCTCCCCAGCAAATTGCCCAATCTATGACAAAGATTGGGCAGATTGTGGAGAAGACTAAAGGTGTGTTTACACGATCGAATTATGTTCGACGGACAAAATTGTTACCAACTAGGAGTGGAAAGCGAAAAGGCTCGCTGATGACGTTAGAAGTGAGCACCAAGTGGTGTACCGGACACTGTCCATGTTCGCAGCATCGAAACGACACATGGACTTAAATGGCTGAGTTACCAACGGACATCACCTTCGGATATCACTTTCGAACATTGTCCACCGGTCTATGCCCTGTGAGCAGATTCGAAATGGTGGTAAACACCCTCATCTGGTACCACTGCTTGTTGCCAGATCTGCTTCCATCGTTTCACCGCTTATGACGTCATCCTGCTTCTCCTGTGATATGGTAACGATTTTGTCCATCGAACATAGTTCGATCAGGTAAACTCAGACTATGATGCAACATCAGTACAATGCTACTCCATTCCTCCCAGAGGTCATCGTAAGAAACCCACTAACATCGCTAAAATTACTCTCCGTAAACATGACCTTCCCTTTAATGTTTACATCGGTGGAGAATCCCTCCCTGTCCAACCATACCAACCTCCTCCTTGTCAATGCCAAAATTGTTGGCATTTAGGACACCCAGTCAAACATTGCCGTTCCACAGCCAGATGCCCACTATGTGCCCAACCTGGTCATACTTGATCAAACTGCTCTGCACTATCACGTACATGTGCCAACTGTGGTGGCTCTCATAATATATTTTATATGGGCTGCCCCACCTACAAATTTAAGTCTGAATCTGAGAGTTGCAGCCTCAAACTTGGACTCTCACTACGTGAAGCCAGACAGGAAGCATGTTGACAAGGTTTTTCTCTTAATCCCTACTCAAGTAATATTGTTCATTCTACCTCTTCCCCTACCTCCCAAGCTCCTACACCCTCTCCTAAACCTACCCCCCCTCCATCTAACTCCCCCTCTTCTACCTCTTACCTTCCCCAGTCACTCTTTTGCTATCCTAAATCCAGACACTCCAATCTCCACTACAACCCCAACACCTTCCCCTCTCCCTCCCCGCACTACCCGCAACAGACAGAACAAACGTTCCACCCCCTCTTCCCCTATCACACAATCACCTCCACCTTCCTTTGCCCCTACTCTTGAGACACCAGTCCTCTCTTCCCCCCCTCACAAGAAATCCTTTATCCCCCAAAACTCCCCAACCAACTCCATTGAAGAAACTCTTGAAAATATTCAAGACTTCTTAATGAAATCTGACACTCATCAACCTTTAAATCCTACAACTCCTGCTCCCTCCACACACCAAGTGACTGCCGATATCTATCTATCCTCCTAACAATATCCCCCCTACACCCTATCATCCTACCCCCTCCCAACACAGTCCTTCCCCCCCTGACTCCAGCCCCACCCACATTAACCCTCCCCCCATCCCCTCTATCCCTTCCACTCCCTCCTGGATACATACGTGAATCCCTTATATCACAAGTATCCCCTTCCACACCTGTCTAACACTCCTATCTGATGTCACAATCCGATCCACCCCTATGCTCCTTATGTGCTACATGACCTTAGATATCTAGCACATTTATTTTGCTTTTAACCATTAATCATTCTAAGTCCAGACACTCTAGTCTGTTTTGCAGACTGAAAAGGGATTTTAAAAACTAATTGCTAAAATGTGATTACTAGTTGATTATCTCATGTTATTCCAAACCAATTTACTTGGGAGACAAACAAAGAAAGGTGCATTGCAATTTTTACTAGATTGTAAACAGTTGTCTTTTGTGAACTAGGTTCAATATATAATTCCTGTGTCAGCTAAAAATCTACTGTTTAAGGAATGAATTTGTACTACAGAATTTCATAGTTAATTCAAGCATATGCATGTAGATTGTAATCATCAAAATTGTATACATTAACATGCTGGGAAAATAATGAATTGTTTGATGAAATTTGAAAAGGTTCTCTTTACTTAAGTTTCATAAGAAAAATCTTTTAGATAAGCAGAGCATGGAAATGCATTGAGATGGATGTTAAATGAATGCACTGAATAGCTTTTCTATTTTCAAAGTGAAAGGGGGAAAAGACAAAACCACTTACAGTATGTAAATTTTTTGTAATTTATACAAGCATATGTATCATTATTGATCTTGATTTGATAGATTGAGGAAATGATTATCCCTGAGCGTTTCTCAATTTTCCCCTATTTGAAATAGCCTTTTGACATTTAGAGTAATTTATTCACAAAAGACATTGGGAGATTGTACTGTTGCTTCATTTGGTTTCATATTAAGTGAAGCTAATGATATCCAATCCAAGGAAGCAAAATGTAGCTATATATGATGATAATTAGGCTCAAACTACTGAATCTTGATGTCAGCTGAGGAATGTCACATTTACCTTGCATTTGAGTGGGGATGTTTTAAGATTTGATAAATCTTTTGTTCCAGGTTCATAATGTTCTGGAAACTGCATGCACATGAGTTATCAGTAAGTATAAGGATCCTTTGGTCCCTGTTTGTAGAATTTGTAGATTGTTCTTTGGTTTCATGACCAGTAGAATTGTGGGTTGTTGAGCATATGATTAAGAGTAAAAAATTGTCCATTGCACATTCATAACCTTTATTGGTTGGCAGATTGAGGAGAAATTGATATTGATATAAGTAATTATCATCTGGTGAACATGTTCCCTTATTTTTGTAATAATGAATTTAACAGCTTGTATTGTCTGTAGAGAGAAATGAAAAGGGAGGAATGAAAACCAAGTAGGTCATTTGCTTTAACCCAAAACAGATGGGCATGCCATTCCCACCGAGTTTATTTCATCAATTGTTCTTGCACATAACAAGTGCTAAGTCACCAATGAGCCAAGTACAAGTACTACCTGTCTTGTGTGGTTACCCTTTTTTTAAATATTTTACATTATCTTCTATAATGTTATTAACATTAGTAACAGCAATATTAATTATCATTACTAACATAAAAATAATGCTATTGATATTCATAGCATTAGTAAAAAACAAAAACAAAAAAACTTGCCACCAATTCAAGGAAAGGTGAAATCAGGTAAGGTCACAAGGGTTACTAATTGACTCCTTTGTGCCTAAGCTCTTGCAGACATTCATAAAAAAAAGAAAAAGAAAAAAAAAAAAAAAAAAAAATCCTGGTGGTATTGAGTTACGTGAAACTGGATATTAAAATATTGCAAATATTTGTCACTTTAAAACTATAATTAATGTGCTAGGAGTGTAGTAACAAAAGATTTTTTGTATTGCAGATTCACAGATTTTGAGGTTATCCTACAAGCCTATACTGAAATCATTAGTAAGTAAAATCTCTTTGAATGTTATCCCATTATTTTATATAGAATGAAATGATGAAAATGGTAAAGGTTCCCTCTGCTGAGGTTTTTTACCCGAAACACAATCGTGCTGAGTTTTACCTTCTGAGGGAAATGGAAGTGCATTAAGATGGATGTTTAAATAAATATACTAAAAGTAATTTTTTCTTTTCCAGGAAAAAAAAAGAGAAAAAGAAAAAGAAGAAGAAAAAATGTACACGAAGGGTCTGCATAAGGAAAAGTGCACTTTCTGAATGTGGCATCAGCATTGTCTATTCCAATTTGACATTGAATGCGTATGTTAACCTTTTATTTATTCATTATTTTATTTTGATACATTTTAATTGTGATAAGATACTGTACATGGAGTGTAAATATAAATTAAATCTTTTTATTACAGAATCTTGGGGTTGGTGCTTAACCCCTTGATGGCGGGTGAAGAAAAAAAAATACTCTATGCGCTGGAGATCAATGACAATGTGCTGACTTTGAGCGTGGGTATTCGGTACATCAAGCCGAATCACTGGCTTGTAGCGCTTTGGCGTGCCAACGCGGCGTACAGCTCCACACCTTCGATCAAGCGGTTTGTTTTGACACCTCAGCATGACCTGTTAGGAAGGGGTTAATCTGAAATTATAAGGTAAATCATGATACTTAATGTTACCCTATTTTCCAAAAAAATGATGATAATAGGAAAGGTTCCCTCTACTGAGGTTGTTTACCCACAACACCACCATGCTGTAGATTTTCTTCTGAGGAATATGGAAATACATTAATGTGAATGTTAGGTAAATGTACTAAATAGCTTTTGTATTTTCAGAAAAGTCCTTGTTCGTTACTCTTCATGGCATATACTTAAATTATCAGTAAGTGAATTCATAGTAAATGCTGTTCCCTTATATTTTATTGAATCCAATGATGAATATGGAAAAGGTTCCCTCTACTGAGGTTGCTTACCCACAACACAATCATGCTGTAGCTTTTCCTTCTGAAGAATATGGAAATGCATTGAGGTTGATACTAAGTGAAGGTAGTAAATATTTTTTTTATTTTCAGGAAAATGGGGGTGAAGACAGAACGTCAAAAATACAAGTAAGTAGAAAGTTTATTTTATGTAAGCATATGCATTGTCACTGATGTTGATTTTATAGATTAAGGAAATAATTATTCTTGTAATACCTGAATTATTTTTCATATTGATCATAAGTAGAGGATCCTTGTTCCCCTTGATCTTTTTGCCCTTTTTGGTTTGTTGTATATTTTTGCCGAATTGGGAGTTGTATATCCAATTTCTGAAAATCAAAATGCTAAATAAAATTGAGAATTGTGATCCTTTCTCATATTTTCCCCCAGTTTGAAAGAGCAGAATTATAGCATATAGAGCATCTTGTGATTTATTTAGGAAAAATTGTTGTCATTCATGGTCTTGTAAGTGAAACTGATTATCTTTTTAAGGAATCCAAAAGTGGTCTTATGTGATGATAATTAGGCTCAAACTACTGAATCTTGATGTCAACTGAGAACTGATGGAGAGTGAAATTTGCTTTACTTAGAGTGGAGATGTTTTGAGATTTGATGAAAATCTATTGTTCCAGGTTCATAAGGTTTTGGTGACTGGATGCACATGACAGTTATCAGTAAGTCTAAGGATCCTCATTTGTAAAAATAGGGTCAGCCTGTAGAAGGTTCCCTCTTCTGAGTTTTTACTTGTTAGAAAATACTGTAATTCTCCACTTTGGTTTACATGTAATCATAAATATCTGCTCAATGCATCTACTAGATAGTTTATTGGTTTCATGACAGAATTGTGGGTTGTCAAGCATATGAGTACTTTGGGTAACCTTTATTAGTTGGCAGGTTGAGGAGAA